GGGGGGGGAGGGCAGGATTCCCCGGGCCCATCCCCCCGGGAGCCCAGAAGGGCCGCCCTTTTGCCGAAGCCGGGCTACGCGCCGCTGCGCACTGCGCCCTCGGCCCAAGATTGCCGGCCCAGATTTCGCCAGCACGGGCAACCTGTCGTTTGCGCGCGTCTACCCAGCCGGGGCCCGCCGTGCCGGCGTACCAGCCCGAGGCGGCGTACCGCATCTTCATGCGCGCCTTGTTCAACCGTGATCTGGCGACGGGGCGCGTCGACACGGCGGTGAAGGATGATTACTCGACGTCAGGCCCGGCGGATGTGTTGGGTGTCAAGAATGAGGTGCCGGAGCAGTATCCTGACTACTGCTATATTCTGGACACGAGCACGTGTAGCGCGAGGCAGATTGCCGCACTTCGCAATGGCTCGGCTGTCATTAAGGACTACATCATGCTGGAGCCGAGTTCGTAGGGAATAGTCCTAGTCTTGTGAGAGCTGAGAAGAACCACATGCCTGCCAACCTTGTACTCTGCATGTTGCGATGCCAATTCATGTCAACGGATTCAAAATTCGGCCTGAATCTCTGGGTTTAACACTAAGTCGTAGTTCCGAAATCGAAAAGGTAAAAGCCCGCTCTATTTTTATCTATTATCGACCTACACGGGCACCTCAATCAACGCGAAATCCTCATTGAGGTAATACCATTGCTCGTACTGCGTAGGCTTCGCCGCTGCTGGCTTCTCCTCCGACTTGGAAGGGATGCCGAGCTGCAACGTTGCCGAGCACGAACCGACGTAGCTCCCCTTAATATCAGGCCGGCTCGTCTGGTTGTAGTTGATGCTGTTCGAATCAACGGCGCCCGAGATAAGGTCGCGCCAGTACTCGTGGCCCTTTTCGACCACGGCCGTCGCGAACGTGGCGTTCTGGTACGTCTCGCCGATGATGGGGATAACGTCGCCGCCGCGGGCGACTTTGTAGTAGGTGAACCAGTCGCGGAAGGCCTGGATGGTGCCTGGGCGGTATTTCTCAACGTCGAGGTAGTCTGCAGCGCGTTAGATCGACTGCCAGGACGAGGCTGGCTCGCTTACTTACTGTCGACGAGGGGCGCAATGGGGTCATTGACGTCAATGGCGAGCATCTTCCAGTCCGTCTCACCCCCGTCGTTGGGCGCAAGCCCACCGAGCAGCTTCACCTGCTTGACTTGTCCGACATAACCGATGCTGTCTTGTCAGTACCAAATCGTGAAAGTGGTGAAAGACCGATAGCACGTACTCGAGGCCAATGTCGAATAGATCAATGGGGTCATTATCTCCCTTCTCGCCCGTGAAATCATGCTCGAAATTCGGCGACTCCCACGTTTGGGGAATGGATCCATAAAGAAATGGATAGGTCTTGTGCGGCCACACACTCTCAACGAAGCGCGGCGCGCCGTTGCGCTCGTCGTGGAAGATGGGATTCAGGGGTTCCTGGCGGCGAATCTCAATCTTGGCGTCCTCCCAGCGCGGGATCTCGACGACGAAGTTCACGACCTGCTTATTGTCCTCGTCCGGGTACAAGGGGACGTCGTGCCAGAAAGATATGGGATGGCCGTCTTTCTCAAGCCACACGCGCCAATCCTGAGAGAACGTCAGTATTGTTCTATTGCAGACGAGGAGAGGAATAGCAAGAGCAGAGAACGCACGAGTGTGTTTCGTCCACCGACCGTCCGCAGAGAGAGGGCATCGTAGTCAAACGTGCCATTGTCGCGATGCTGAATCGTACCGGCAACAGCAAGGGCTGGCAGCAAGGCCTGGGCGAGGAATCTGGCGACCATTTTGTCGGCGATTAATACTGTCTTCAAACGTGAGGCTGCAAAGACATCCTCAAATGAAGCGAATCGCCAAAGGACCGTCAGCCTTATAGCAATAGCAACATCCCAAGCCAAGATCCCCCCCTCCGCCGTCATCTCGCGCCTCGTGCCCGTGTCGACCACCTCTCAACGACGCCATGGCACGCTGGAGATGAGCGCTGACCCAAACCCCCGCCACCGCCCACGGTACCTGCAGGCGTCGATCAATCAATTGCGGCCGTGGTTGAATGGCAAGCCCATGACGCAGCACGTGTGCTCTCTCAACCGTCGAACATCAGTCGGCCTTTCGTCGAGGGGCCGGAGCGCCAAGGCACTAAGGCCACTGAGCTTGCTGGGGGATCGGAGCACTGGCGCGTCCAATCGACGCCCCTTTGTCGTGCACGTGGGTATCGCTCTTGGTAGCTGTTGATGCGATGCAACGCTAGTGCGTGAAACTCTCTGTGGTGTGCGCCTCGAGCCAGTTGAGTCGATGAGCGGCCCGCCAGTGATTTAACCAAGCTTAAAGGCAGAAGAACGGCTCCGATCAGGATCTGGGGCTGAACGATATGAGGGTTTTGTCTTCTCATTTACATTGATTTTGACTGTGGTGTCAACGTGTTCGGTCATTTAGACACCAAGATTTTATTGTCAACACGCGTGCAAGCACGGCACATGTCCAGAGCTTGGCTACAAGCGAGAGGTAGCCCAAAACAAGAAGCCCAAGACAAGAAGCATCGCGAACGGCAAATTGAGACCACTCACTATACATTGGCCGATATAAACTTACCACCTATCTGAGGAGAGTTACGACACTTATGATAACCAATCTCAGTTATTTCTCAAGCCAGCGCCTTGTATTTCAGCACCGTATGATACTTCAACAACGACGAAGATTTCCACCGACACTGTCATCATTTTTTGCCCCTTATTAACCATCAATGTCTTTGACAAACCTGTCTGGGGGTTGCAGATCCGCTAGGCGTGCGCGCATCTCCCCAACGCCTGTTCTTGTGCACGGTCGTGCCCAAGATGCAGTTATACTTGCGATGACTGTGTGAGTCTCGGTAAGATGCCGTGCGATGACGAGGACTGAAGCAGCCTGTTAATTTGGTGCCCTTGCGCTAAACGAATGGAAGTGGGCACTATCGTCACTCTGAACTACAGAACGGGTGTGGCTAATACATGTGAGGGCAGATAGTCAAGCCTGCTCTGGAGAAAGATTTTGATTACTTGTTCTGGAACCCGGTAATGACAGCTTGCATCTGGTTTTATAGATATTGGAAATCACGTCTACTGGAAGACAGCCTAACAAAGGCGAACTAGAAGATACAGTGCATATTCAGAGGTGACTGAAAGCAAGGGTTCATGGCTTTCTAACTTCGACATGTCGTATGACACTCCTCATGGCCTGCGCCTTGGCTACCGTATTTAGTCTCAATAGGGCACATCAAGCAACAGGATTTCCGCAAGGAGTACCTTCTAAATCGATCTCCATTGCGTAGAGCAGGACTAACTGTTACTGCGGTATGGCATACTCGCTCTGCTTCAGCTGAACATCTTGTCGCCGGCGTTACAGTTCGTTCTTAGCCGAAGGCGTAGAATTCAAACCCTAAAAAGTGTCTGAGCGTAACTGATGACGCAAAACATGTCGCCATGAGATCGATTGGTAGAAATCAATCTCCACGAGGCTTCCAACCAAGCATGCCTCTCGAAGGCTTGTTCCGTATTACGATTCAAGAGTCACCTACAGGCAGCAGTCATCATGTGCGTTCAAGGGGGCGTTAAAGGCGTTTAATGCTACGGCGACAACAGTCTATAGGATAGATCATCCTGCCGTAGCTGGTGACAAGCCTCGCAACGTTTTCAGCGCCTTCTAAGTTGGAGCGCTTTTGGTACCATGCCTTACAGATTTCCCCGCCTTTCGCATGCAGTTTCCTATGAATCATGGTTTTTTTGCCTATTTCGATTCGAACTATGTATAACTTGGTCAATGTCAACCGCTATCATTGCCAGCTTGTGTGCCTACCTGAGTCTTCTTCTCATGTCTCCGGCGCGTCTACTTCTAACATCTGGAGAACAACCGTCGAACAAATCGTCAGTTAACAGGAGGGAATTATATAAGCCGAGGTTCAATCAGCATGACCCGGCTCTCGTGGGGATCCGCGTAAACGACTTGTAGGAAGACTTCTCCCGAGCTGAGGCGTATCTTTTCATCTAGAACAGTAAGACTGTAACAAGACGCGCGGCAAATGAGAAAACGTGATTTTGCACCAGATAGCCGGATGTGGCGCGATGGTTTTTGAGCGGTTCGCTATTTATAAAGCTCGAAACCCCATACAAACCAGCTTCAATTTGTAAGAGGCATCGGCGGGGGACCTCAAACAGCAGTACCAGACATAGATTGTCAGGTGGCCCTGCGGAGCTACCAAGTTGGGGGTCAGTCAGGGGGGCTAAGGGCTACGAGAACGTATACATGAGGACCGCGGATGGCCTTCCAAGCTGCGGAGGGCCAATATTCAGATGTATTCCGACCCCCCACTTATATTCTATTGCCTGTGGGACCACGCGAGGAAGATTTCTTCACTCTGCTCCAAATCAAGCAATAACATAGATGCTACTTTAGCACATAAGCTTTGTAGTCATGAATATGGCTAGGAAGGAGCCGCGTATTTACCTAGAAGCAGCTTTCACATGGCTCAGACCATATACCCATCAGTTAGTGGCGGGTTTACATCTGCAGCAGTGCGGATGCAGCGCTTTCTGCCGCAGAAGCTCGATCATCTCCAAGCTTCACCAAGAGTTCCGCCCGTAATGACCCACTGTTCCATCTCATCAGGGCCCAACAACCTAGAGTTCATTCAGTAGATATAACAAAGCATTCTCGACGCCAGTAGTCCTGCAAAAACAGCAACGGGAGAGTCGTTTTGATGCGAACTTACCACGCAAGTAAAAGCTTGATCATGTGGTCTGTGTCGGTAGCTTTGATAGACCCAGGAAGCCTCTGGATGGAGAGATTTTGTACAATATACTGCTTCTCCTCTCGCCACGCCTTCATAAACGCAGGAGACGAATCGGCTTCCCACAAATGTTTGGACGCAGTCCACCGGTGTACAGCCGCAAAACGTCCGGGAAGTGGTGTGCCCCCTATTCCCACCGTCTTAAGCATGGCCACGAGACCTATAAACCCATACCCGAGCCAGATAGTTCGTCGCACACACTCAGCGAAGATCCACTCCTCCCAGGACTGGGGTGGTCTATTCTGTAGCATACTCTCTTCGAGCAGCCACAACTCGGCAAGGTTATCGCGGTACGTCTCAAGGTCTTCTAGCCACGCCTCCAGAGTTCCCATATCACGCTCTGCTTGCTCTCGCAGGCCAATGTCACCATCGAATATGCGGATTTGCTGGTAAATGAGAAGAGCTTGGGTGCGAGCGAGCTTGTCGAGGGGTGTCAGGTCTGCCGTCTCCGAGCTCGGAGCCTGTGCAGCTTCTTTTCCGTTCCCCTGGCTGTGATGCGGCGGGCGCGTTAGCTCATCAGCGGCCTCGCAGAGCACGCGGACGGCCCAACTTCGGTTGGCGTCAGTACGGCTAGCGTACGTTGTAACGGCTGAGTAGACGGCGAGTATCGCATGCGGGGTGTGGGCGCGATATAGATGGCGATGGAGGAAGGGCGTTTCGCGCTGACGAGTGAAAAGGGCAGGGAACTCCTTGAAACTGGCGACGACCGAGCCGACTCGGGAACCTGGCTCGTGGATGCTCCATGGATTGAGTTGTGACTGGAAATGTGAGCCAAAAGCCGTGATGAAGGGGATTCCGTTCAGAAAATGATTGAGAACATACGCAGGCATCAGACATAGCCTTTTTCTCATGAATGAAGTATTGAAGATTTTCGTCAAGTGGTAAAGGTACCCTGGGCTGGGCTGTCTCTGTTCCTGGAAATTCCTGAGTTTGGCGCAGGTGCATACTTGACCCCGCGTCATCAATAGACATCTGGTCGGTAAGGTTACGAGGGTCGAGATTGAGCGATTCGGAGCATGAATGGGGTCCACTCGACATTTTGACGTCGCAGGGTAAGCTGTTGTGCACTGCCGAGTTCGAGCGACAGGACGGTGATAAAAGATGTAGATGTGCACCCACGGACGCTTTTGCGCAGCATTCAACGGCCCCATGCTTGAAGTGATGAATTCCGCTGCTACACACTCACGCGCTACGTGCTCTATATTCTTTTATCCGTGTCCTGCAGCCAGGATACGGCCCGTACACTTGCCGTTGGTATCCACCTTAGCACCACGCCAGTGGTGGTAAGTATGAGCGGGGTAGACTGCCTGCTGAGGCATGAAGTTTGAATTGATAAGATAAATAAGGGGTTTAGAAGATGGCGAGATTATGGGATTGGACAGACGATGTTGGAGTCGCCGCGGTTGAGCTTCGATGCACAGGCTCAAGCATCACAAAAGTGGAAGCAGGCAGTGCGTGTTGATTGCATACAGTAGGGAGCTTGGCATCGTAAACCCGGTGATGCAAGTCTTGTGATTTGTGTTCTGAAAAGTCTAGCGCAGAGACGTGTCTCCTTCTTGTTCAGCCGTCGTCTGTCAGGGCAAGGCGGCCTCGCCCTTGAAGACGAACGAGCTCGTAGCACCAATCAAGTCTCCATACTCTTCGTACATGGGCTCCAAACCGTGCTCCAGCGTATGGTGGACAAATTCCTCAAAAGAAATGCCCTGGAAGTCGGGATACAAATCCTTCCCAATCAGGTAGCCAAGATAACGAGCATACTCGGGAGAGTTTTCGCCCATGATGTCGTACGACTTTTGATAGGTGTACTGGAAGTAGTCCATCATCTTCATCTGGTCATCCTTGGTTGTGGCTATGCCCTCCTCAATCTCCTCGGCGGTGCGCTGCGTTCAAGCCATGTCAGATATCGTGCGTGAAGAGGCCCTACCTTGCGTCTCCGAATGTCATAAACTTACGTATTTCTTTTCAATAGTCTCACCACTGAGCTTCGCTACAGTGTCCCAAAGCTCGTTCTGCGTGCGAAGATCTGTGTACGCGAAAACCTTGTGATTCAAAGTGCGAGGATCCGTGATGATGCGTCCGACATATGCTCCGATATCCCTCGAATCAGTTCTGGCGGAAGGAACGTTTCCATCGCCGCCGATTGCAGTGTTGTAAAGGAAAAGATTGCGGTCTAGTCGACCCGATGGAAGGCGCGGGAGGCTGATCTGATACCACCAGCCGACATCGATGATAGTGTAGGGCAGGTGTACGCGCTGGATATGATCGATAAAAGCCTCCTTCTGTATGGATGCATCAGGAGTCAGCCTGGCGTGCGAAACAATGGATGTAGTTGCAACGACCATGGCCACTTACGTTGTCACGTAATGTCTGGACGCCCCGAGGCATCACCGTAGCATAAAAGCATGGGACGTAGCGCTTTACTCCTGCCTTCTTAGCTGCATCAATCAGAGGCACCTCGTTGAGGATGCAGCACACGATGAGGACATCAAGGCCCTGGAGCTGTGATACGGTGGCGTCCTCAGGACCGTCGATATCGAAGGATGCTATTTTCACGCCTCGTTTCTCGAGGTCCAGTACTTTCTTCTTCTTCAACGAAGAGGGCCGTACAAGGGCCGTGATATCCTGCACTCGGCGACCGTTTAAGCGATAGTCTCCTACGAGCAATTGCGGTGGACAACTTACGAAGTTGTGGCTTGCGGAAAGCAGACCAGTAACGATGGAGCTGCCATTCTGGCCCGTGGCTCCCAGAATCGCAACCTTCGTAGCAGCCATCTTACAATTCGCGACGAGTGGAACAGTGAGTGGTATACGTCGTGCCGCCTGTACATTGGCGATGTGAATGGCAAGGGGCGACGATATAATACGGTCTGCTTAAATGGGATAGCCAGATGTTATTTATACTTCCCGCATAAGATCCTTCGGCTTCACTTTGTGCTACTATTGACGGTAGAAACTTTTTCGAAGGCTCCAACCTGCGTCCATGTCGGACTCACTTTCCCCCGGCTGGATCTGAGATCTTAGCCGACGGGTGCGGAGTTCGATCTGTCAAACAATGCGGAGTGGGGGCGTACGAAGGGGCCGACGCATGTCGTTTACGTACATGGTTGACGCTAGGGGGGTGGTTTGGCCGACCGATCGTGCATTTTCACGGCCCGAAATGCGAATCGGTATTCATGGGCTTTCTGTCATTGCCACTCGTGCTGATGTCTCACAAACTCCACAGGAAGAGGCTCGGGTTCGGGCAAACACATGTAGTATGAAGATACTTACTACGATTAGCAGCATGGCATCATGAATCGAGATAAATTTTTAGAGTAGATTTGATTATTGTATTTGCTAAAAAGAACATCTACCGCCCTTCGCGTATCACAAGACCACTGTAGTCACTTGTAAGCCAAAGGCTGCCACTACTCTCTCAAGAAGAGGCCGACATCATATTGTGATTATTTCAACCTGCTTGCATCGCCAAAATACCTCACAGCCTTCAAAGTCTCTAGAGTTCCTGGAACGGGTTTCCAACAACGTCGTTAGCTTCAATTCAATGCCTCCTGACTGTATCTATCCCTACAGTACTTTAGTAGTCTGCTGCCCTACGAGCATCTGGTATCATGACCCCGATACCCCAAAACGCCAGTCCATTCCCAAGAAGTCCTTCGGAGCACTGTAGTCATACATCTTTTTTTTCCAACATCACCCCTCGAGTTCGTCCTCTTCAATCATGCGGCCCAAAATCAGGCTCTGAATCACAAGCTCATCGCTCAGCGTCCGGATCCTCTTGGGCGGCGGCGCAGAGTCCCCTGCCGCGCTGACCCTCTTCCTCTTCCTCGTCTCCTGCGTCGGCGGCGCCGTCATGAACAGCGCCTCGTCGGTGCCCGTATTTTCGTCAACGTAGACCCAGTCAAACGGCGCCTCGAGAAGCTCCTTCTCGCGCATCATGCGTTTCGCCTCGTCCATCTTGTACGCCCGCGCGAGCGAGGCGCCGAGCACATGCGCCAGGAAGACATACGGCATCTTCTTGTCCTCCTGGCGCGACTTCTTCATGATCAGCAGGATGCGGCTGCCCTGAAGAAGCTGGGGACGGCGTTCGATGACGTCGACGAGACGGGCGTCGGTCGCGGGGTACGGCGCTAGGTAACGAGAGCGAATGGCATCCCGCAGGAAGGACGACTGGCCGGCACAGAGTAGGTACGGGTCCCATGCGACGACCTTCTGCTTCTCCACGCACGTCGTCACCCAGCGATCAGAAATGCAGGGGAGCCCGAGGGCGAGGGCCTGCATGTACTTGACCTTGCGTGAGTGTCCGTCTGCAATGAGCGCCGTGAAACCCAAAGTCTGGGCCGAGGTCGCCAGGGTCAGTGAAGCCTCTTCTTCTTCGTCCGTCACAGGGCTGACTGCCGCGCTTCGCAGGGCCTGGGCGTCAAAGAGCTCGTCGAAGCCGCTCGAAAGCAGCCGGCCGCCGTATTCAAGTATCTTCTTCTCGACATCGTTGCTCTGCGACAAGCGCTCCTCGTACTGCTCCGTATTTTCGCCCGGTCGTTTCGATTGGAACGAGATGGCGAACGCCATGCCGCTGAATAGCTTTTGATCTCTCTCGGGCGCTCGTGATTCGTAAATCAAGGTGGACAGCCGATCAGCTCGACTCTTCGCCTTGGGAGGATGAGCCATACTATTCTCAAACCCTATTGCAGACGGTGACATGGCGAGTTCATCTGTCGACGCAGAGTCATGCCGTGTCGATCTTCGCGTCTGTTTCTTACTGCGTTTCTTGCCGCGCTCCGAGAGGACTGGTGCAGTATTGAGCGGCGGCAAACTCGGTCTCGGATGGCGACTTCTTGGCTTCATAGGGGACGTGTGCGCAACCTGGTCGGACTGCTGCGTCGCTGGCGTGGTCTTAGACGACAAGCTCGGGGTAACAGACAGGGTGCTGAGGGTTGAAGTTGACTCTGGCGCCGATTCGACAGAGGACTCCGGCGCCACCGGCGTAGCCGGGTTCTGATCCACTGTGTTGTGCGAGCGCAGTTTTGAAGGCCCGCGAGGCAGACGCGGTGTCAGCAGAGGCGGCGAAGATGGAAGGTCAAATGCTGGCTCAGTGCTCCGTACTTGGGGGCTCGAATCCAAAACGACAGACGGGTCTGACTGAATGTTCGGCTCATCAGCCTTGCTCTTGGTTGCACGCACGGACTTGCGAAGCATGCCAGACTTTGCTGCTGCAGTTTTGACTTCCCGCCCCGCTCTCGGCTCAGAAGGAGACGGCTTGGCCTTGGAGTCTGTTGCCGCTGCCTTGGCTGTCGGGCGGCTCTTACGAGATGACCTTCGCGAAGGCATAGACAAAGACGGGCGTGGTTCGTTGGGTGTTGCCAAAGGTGAATCCTCGTCCATAGGGGCGGGCGAAGGATCCTCGCAAACCTCCTCGAGTGCCAAGTCTCTCTCAGGACTTGCGACATTGACCTGCGTCGTAGGTCGGTTGACGGGGCTCGTCTCGGGAATGCGGTCTCTCTGCTTTGAGCTCGTGTCCGACGTGTCGACGCTCAAGGGATTCCCGGCTTTGTTGTGAGTCGTCTCCTCTGTACTGTCAGGTATAGCCTCAACACTAGAATCCAGGGCCGTCAGAGGGGCGTGGTTCTCCATGGGCAGCTCGTTTGTGGTTGTTGGCTTTTTGACCGTGTCTGGTACGTTGAGAGGGTCCTGAGAATCGGCGACGGTGGATATGTCTTCCTCGTTTTCGCTCCCCACCGCAACCTCGCATTCATCGTCTGGTACGATTGCAACCTGTGCCCTTCTCTGGGATCTTTGCGGCCGCGGAGTGATATCGGGATCGTCATTGGGAATAGTCCGTCGAAGACTTATTCCGGAGAGCTGCTCGGCAGCTGCTCTCTTCTTCATGGCGGCCCTCCTGCTCCGTTGCATGGCCTCCAGGGCATCGTCTGAATCTTCCTGCGAGTCCACTGGGGGTAGGGCGTCTCCACTGAGCCGCCTCTCTTGCGACTTTTTCATCGTCTCGTAGTGTGCCATGGGCTCGACACGGCGTCGCAGCGTGCCTGAGGGCAGCTCAATGGGGGTCTCAGCGACGGCCTCTTCGCCAACCCAACGACTAGGCGCTGGCGTCTCAGCGGGAAAGTGATCAGCTGCCGAACTGGGAGCTTGGGGGCTCGACGTGTGCATGACCGTGGGTGAAGTGATGTTGAATTGACGCTTGAGTGGCGATGTCTCAATCGGGTTCGGCGAGATGGACAGATGCTGGGGCAAGTTTGGTGAAGGTCTCGAGGACGTCGGGCTATCTCCACGCTTGAAAGCCGACGACATGCCCTGCGTCTGCCCAAAGAGTTGGGATGGTGCCAGAGGCTGGACTCCGAGATTGCCAAGACCGGCAAACGGGTTCGCGGGCGGCGCCGGTGTTTCTGGTGCCCAGGGCATCGTCTTGTACGGCGTCTGCCCTTCGGGTCGCCTCATGGAGGATTGGTTCTGGGAGCTCGAGGCGCGCCTTCGCCAGGCGCCTCGCGTGTTGAGAGGACCGGTGCCATAGGGGATCGGAGATGATTCTTGGGTCGCCTGCATGTCGTGGTCGAAGAGATGACCCAAGTTGCCAAAGTTGACGGCGCCCGTCTCATCATCGTCGAGATTTTTTTCCTCCTCAATTTGCGGCACAAGAGGAGCGTCTTCAATGGCTGCATCGTCCCGCCGTGAAGCTGTCGACTGGGGGCTAGTGTTGATTTGCGAATGGCTCTCGTACTTTCGGTAATCGCGGTCATCGTTCTCCTGTGTGGGAGACGATTGCGACGTGTCCATCTTGGGTTTCCTCAGATGAATTTTCGTAGACGTGTCAGATGGAGTCTCGCCGGGGTCGGCTCGAGATGTTGGTGTTTTGGTGGTTAGTGTCGGAGCATCGTTCGTAGCCGATTGAAGGTCGAGGTTCCGTGCATAGCCGTCGTCTAGACGTGCCGAGAAAGGCTTCACTGGTGCAGGCGTTGTCGTTAGCAGGAGAGGAGGCTGCTGCGGTGTTGTCGCGGCGGTTGTGTGCAGTTCTGAGGCTTCCGACGTCGGCTCAGGCGTAGGATCTCGGGGCGCTTGGCGGGCCTGTCGGTTTGGCGTCAGTCAGTGTTCGTCGACAAAGAAAGGTCACAGTGAATCTGCGCACTCGTTCTCCCGCCGCGCGTGCCTCGTCTTTGAGCAACGGCAGACCTAGACCCTCAGGCTCTGCGTTCTCCGGTGCACTGATGAAGGCGGCAGGCTGTGGTGACGCGATCGAGTCGCCGCGATTGACGAGTCGCGATTCCTGGTTCTCGCACGGCACTGGTGAGCTGCCGGGCTGCAGGGGTTGATGCTCAAAGCGGGTTAGCGTTCTGTGGGCAGGCTGGGGCTCCCTGTCGCGTCGTGTCACATCGGGCTGGGGTTAGGTCTCCGCGTACCTGGCCGACGCCAAAGCGTTGGATGTAGAGGGCCATGATGTGCTGGCTATCCTGTGATTCGTCATCGCCATTGAGGGCGGCGCGCTCGGGTTGCGCGAGCGATTGGTATCGAGGCATCGGGCTTGCGCATTGCTGGGAGGGCGAAGGTGATACGCGTGCATGGTGGTGGAAAAAGGAAAACCAGGTGAGTGGGGTAACTTGCGCTGAGTCTGGAACGCGTGCACAGCGCGACATCACGTGATGCTGTGCTATTCATAATCTGCTCCAAGCAGTTCACCGGGGCCTTGAGTGGCGATTGCAATTTTCAGAACTGCCTATCATGGCTGGCAGCTGTGTATAGTGAGCCAGAAACATACTCGCTATTGGATGCTATATTTTTGATTTGACACTTGGGTTGAGATGGGAGACGACAGTGAAGACAGTGCCTAGCCTTATTTGATTCCTATGGTACTTACCTGAGTACCTAGGTATGTCCAAGGTACCTATGTAGACGCAAGGAGTGGCTGGCACTGCTCGCCACTGCCATGCCCGATGCTCCAGCTGTCGAATCGTAATCAGACCCCAGCTCCATCGTGCGCAGCTGCAGAAGTACGACAATGTATCAGCCTTATCTTACCCGCCCATACTATCCAGTCAGCTGCTCTGCTTTACGACTTGAACATGGCCTCATGTTACCAGCATGCCTGATCCTCGGATGCCATACCATATCGGAGGCGTAGCGTGTGGAAGACAATGGTTGCTTCGGACAACCCAGCAAGCCGGCTTCTGGGCGAAACACAGTGGGCATCTGGGGCCTACAGATGAGCCAAGACACAAGCTGTACTGTTCCTCGTGCTCGCCAGACCGTAGGGTCGTGGGAAAGGGGAGTTTGCACCACTGGCACGTGCCAACGGGTACTTTCTGACGTGGGCGGCGCCTTTTTGGCTGCGGACGCTGAGTGGGGGTTAAGTGGGTGTCGGGGAGTGTGATGAGTGTGATGTAATAATAGATTGCAGTTCATAGGAATCACATGCAAATGCTATTCATTTCATTCATCAAAAAGGCATTGTGAATGAATATTTTGGACTGGAAGACTGTTGATTGTTGTTTCTACCCATCTCGTCTGCATCTCTGGAAGTCCTGAAATAAGGTAACTCAGCAGGTGCCTGTCGTGCTCGAAGCAAGAAGAACCAATCGGACAGCGCGGTGCCGAGGCACTTGCTGCTGTGACCATGACGCCCAGTTTTCGTCGCAACAAGGCCACGACGAGATGGGCAAGTGGCCACACGACTGCCATTTTTGCGTCGGCGCGTTTTCTCATTGGCTCCCAACTCAATGCCGTCGCTGCCTGCTGCGCACTCGGGGTCTTGCCAAGTCCGTGGTCCAAGTGAAACAAGGCCAACTCGTCACCGTTTTAATTGAGGCCATTCCCACGATCCCTTTTTCTTTTTTTTTTTTTTTTTGCCATCATATTCGATTGAACGCCTATTGCTCGCCCATGGATGCATGATCACACATCAGATTTGGATCGCCAAACGCCCATCATGACCTCGTCATCCTCGCCTACGGCCAAGCTCAGCGCTTACCTATCGCAATTGAATCCCGTGCCTACCTTTCCCGACTACACAGGACCCTACAAAGTTGGCACCGTCGACGTCGAGATCCCCGTCTCCGAACTCGAATCACCGAGCCCCGCACCCGACAGCGCTGCCGATATTTACACCGTGTCCTGCCGCATCTACTACCCCGCGACCCCCGACTCGGCAGGCAAACCCATCAGCTGGCTGCCCTCGCCTCAGCGCCACCATGTCTCTGCCTACACCCAGTTTGTCGGCATCAAGCCCCTGCTGGCCGACTTTGTCTCGTAAGCCGACGACCCCTCTCTGTAGGCTCTGATGATGATACTGGAGCGTCGAGCTAATCATCGCAGCTTCCTACCCCGCCACCTCCACTACACGACCATTCCCGCCCTCAAGAACGCCGACCTCCTCGAGCCCAACACGCCCAATGGCCGATGGCCTACGATGATTTTCTCCCATGGCCTCGGCGGCAACCGCAATACGTACTCTGTCGTCGCCGGCTCGCTCGCGTCCCACGGCATTGTTGTCGTTTGCCCCGAACACCGCGATGGCAGTGCCGTCGCATCTTTTGTGCGCATCCCCCAGGCCCAGGACAGCTACTTCATCCGCAACACGCGCCGCGTCGTCCCCTACATCCGCCTGCCCCACGACAACACACCCGAGATTTCCACAGCACGGGAGGATCAGCTGCGCATTCGCCTGTGGGAGCTCGGTCTTGCCCACGCCGCCATTCTCGCCATTGATCGCGCCCAGTCTCTGAAGAACCTCAACAAGAGCACGCCATCTCTCGATTTCTTCGCCAAAAAGCTCCACGTTCACGAGCCTGGCTCCATCATCTTTGCGGGCCACAGCTTCGGATCCGCCTCGATCGTGCAGCTGCTCAAGAGCACCTACTACGCTGGCACGCCGGCTCTCGCCAAGATGGAGCGCCCCCTCTTCACGCCAGCCCCCGACTCGGAGCTGTCGAAGCAGATCACCGAAAAGAACGTCACCATGCTGCTGGACATGTGGTGCTTCCCCCTGCTGGCCCCCAACTCGGCGCCCCTCTTCGACCTGCCGCTGCCCGCCTACGCCAATGTCCCCTCAGCTCCCGGCGGCAAGGCCCTCCTCGCCGTCGAGTCGGACGCCTTCTACAAGTGGACCGAGCACCTCCACGTCACGGCCCGCGTGCTGTCGCCTGACCCATCGAAAAAGGTCATCACGGCCGACCTCTACCAGCGCAACAACGGCATCGCTTTGCCCGAGCCCAATTTCTTCTACGTCGAAAAGTCCGCCCACCTCTCGCAGTCGGACTTTGGGATCCTTCTTCGCACTGGCTCACGAAGCGCATCTTTCAACTCGGTCGAACCCGAGCGCGCGCTGCGCGTCAACCTCCGCGCCCAGCTGAAGGTCCTCCGCGCTAACAGCGTGCCTGTCGGACGCAACTGGTCGGCGATATCGTCGACGGAGCCGCGCCTAAAAAGGATGACAGCTGAGTGTACTGAGTGCGACGGCCACTGCAAGGTCAGCGGATACGGCCCTCTAAGAACAAGGCCATTTTCTTAGTAAGCACCGCCTGATCCCCCACTCGGTGCCACTTGGTTCA